AACTGAATATGTTCAATGTCAGACCATCATGTGATGCTCGAGATCAATAACATTTTTTCTCCTGCTGTTTCTTAATCTTTCACTGTTCTATCATGTTTGTTGTCCACTAAGGCCCAGATCTTAAGGTGTTATTTCATACTGTGTTTCAGATAAGATAAGATAAGATAAGATATGCCTTTATTTATCTCACAAGGAGAAATTCACATCGTTGACAGCAGCTTTCAACAGTCGTACACAGATACGACACAGGAAAAAACAAAAAATAAAAAATGTACATATAAATATCAGATATCAGAAATAGTGCAAACATATCAGAAATAGTGCAAACATGAAAAATGGGCTTCTGGGAATATAGAAAAAGATATAGAAAAAGATATATGTATATATATGTATGTCAGAGTAATCTGTGGCTGCCTCCTAACTAGTCATTAGCATAGCGTTAGCCACTGTGACAGCAGCTAATGTCCTGATTTGTAGCGGTAGCTGTGCTTCTTGTTTGGTTTTTGCAGGTTGTGTCTGCTGAAGAGACGCGTCTGTCAGTTAAAGCAGATTGCTAAAGCTAATCTGACTTTAGAACAGTGTTACGGTACTCCAGATAGCGTTAGCTGCAAGCTAAGTGACACAGAAAGCCTCTCAATGATAGCGTTAGCAAGGTCAGCTAAAGAAGTTCCAGCTACACTGGCACCAACGTGGGAGTTATTGTGGAGTTTAGCTCTTCTGTTCTGCAGATGTGCTCATTGGTCTCTCTGCGTAAACAATAGCTATCACTGATTGGCTGTTACTCGTGAAATGCAACCAATCGGATCGTGCTGTTGTTGGGACTTTGTTTGACACCACATAGTAAGTACGGAGAGAGACGGAGCCGGCTGTTTAACCTGCTTTCCATATTTACATTTACATTTATTTATATTATTGTATCAAGATGAGATCATTCCTTTATCCTCATATATTTTATTTATGTAGGCAAATGTTTTTATTTGTTGTTTAAGGAGTTTGGCTGCTTCAGCTGAGGTTGCTCAGACATCTGATCAGGATTCCTTGTGTATGCCTCCCTGTGGAGGTCGGGGTAATTTGGAGGAAACCCCGGGGCAGACCCTGGATACGCCGCAGGGGATTCTGTTTCCCATCTGGCTTTGCGGGACTCCCAGGAAGAGCTGAAGGTTAAAGACGAGAGTGCCTTCGCTGCAAATGACGTCATTTACTAACATATTGAGAGATGAATCATCAAAGTCATTTGAATTCCATCAGAAGGCTGTATAAAAAAGCAGTTAAATGCCAGTCCTTGTCTTGTTGCAGTTATTTACCGCTGCCCAAGGTCGAAAGCCATCATCCTTTCTCGCTCCCAACTGGCTGATTGATTGAGATCGAACAGTTTGTCTCCTGCTGTTAACTTTGCAGTTCTTCTCTGTTTCTATGATCTTCTTCTGTTGTTTTTGCTTCATTGCCTGTTCAGGTTCATATCAGTGGCTGTCGCAGAACTTAGCCGTTAGCGTAGCCTTAGCCACTGTTTAAGTAGCTAATGTCCTGATTTGTAGCTTTTTGTTCAGTTTGTTGTGTCTTTGCTAAGAGAGATGAGTCTGTCAGTTAGAACAGATTGTTAAAGTTAATCTTACTTTCGGGAGATGCTACAGGTACTCCAGGTAGCCACATGCTAAGAGGCACAGCTCATCTCTTAGCGATAGCTTTAGCCTAGCACCTTCTGCAAAATAAGTTACAGCTGCACTGACACCAACAAATCAATCACGTGTTCAGTCATGAAAGTGATTTTTATATAAAATGACTGTACAAAATAAGCAGTTATATTCCAATCCTTGGCTTGTAGCAGTTATTTCCCGCCATCCAAGTCAAATGTGACCTTCCTGTCTCGCCCCAAATGATCACCTGATTGTCTTCTGCAGTTCTTCTCTGCTTTATCACTTTTTTACTGACTAATATCTTAAAGTACTGTTTCTTATTGTTTTCCAGACACTGTTTTGAGATAATCTGTGGCTGCTTCATAACTTAGCCATTAGCCATTAGCATAGCCTTAGCCACTGTAAAAGTATCAAATTCCCTGATTTGTGACGTTGGCCGTTCTTCTTGATCAGTTTTTGCATGTTGCGTTCCATGAGAGAGACGTTTTTGTCATTTCGAATAGATGGTTGAAGGTAATGTTACTTTAGGAAGACGTTACAGGTACTCCAGATAGCCACAGGCTAAGAGGCACAGCAAACCGCCTAGCAATAGCCTTAGCTTAGCACCTTCTGCAAAATAAGCTGCACTGACACCAACAAGTAAATCACGTGATCGGTCACTGAAGTGATTTGTATTTGATAAGAAGGCTGTACAAAAAAAGCAGAGTTACATCCCAAACTTTGCCTTGTTGCAGTCATTTGCCATCGCCCAAGGTCGAATGCGACCATCCTTTCTCGTCCCCAAATGAACCAAACTGAAAGGCCTGAACAAACTGCTCTGAGCGCGCCCGGTGTGAACTCACTCTTATCTGTCATTGCCACATCGGTGTCCCCACAGGGCGCGACGAGGGCTTTAATTGCCTGAGATCTTGTTTTTGATAAAGGACCGAGATGTACGGCGTCGCAGGACAATCAGTGGTCACCTCTTTCCATTTTATGTCACCACTCGTCTCTCCATCTGTCTGCCTCCTCGCCCTCGCCGTCCACCCACAGTCCTGCCTGGAGGGACACCGAGGTGTAGGAGGAGGAGAAATCCAGTCGTCCTCCCTCCTCAGCAGTTTTCACACTCGACAATTTGGGGGCGAAAAATAAAATCTGAAGCCGGCAGGGCCCTGTTTGGTATTCATTGTTTCCTCGGTGCTATTTTGACAGGGTTTAATCATGTGTAAAAGCAAACTATTACAGCTTCCGCATGGATTAGCACGGTCGACGTGATTATGCAAGAAGAGCAGGAGCAGGACGGAAATGTTTACGGAGTCTGTGGCCTGAAGGGGACGCTTAAAAGAATTAGACATACTTAACACAGATACTGGGGCGAAGGGTCTGGTGAACTCGGCCCTGCTGCAGTCAGCTGCCAGATAATCCATACGGTGTGTACATAGTGATGACTCCCTGTGGTTTGTGATGCATGGTACTAGTTTGACCGCTGCCTCCAGCTCCCTCAGGCCTGAATGCGATCAGCCCGCTGTGAGACTCTAGAAAGTGCCGCCATTTGTTCCTCTAAAGTTTGGGACGCATCATTTGCAGTGACCCCAACAGCATGTTTGCAGGTTTAGAAATCTCCTAAAATATGAAGCTTTATGCGTTTTCTTGCATGCTCCACAACTTGAATTCAGTTCATTTTGTCTGATTTGTTTTCTTTTAAGGAGCAAAGTAAATGTGCTTAAAACTACTTGTGGTGTTGACAAACTACTGCAGAGTCCAGAAAAGAAAGGAAAACACTTTAATGACGTACATAATGCCTCGTATGTCACCAGAAAGACGAGTGGATTGGTTATTTTGAAGAGTGACTTGTTTTTTGGAGAATGAACAGTCTCTTATTGGTGCATATTTACCTGCAGTGCACCTCTCACATGTTTAAGACTTAACAACAACGTGTTATTTCCTACATCTTTGAAGCCGCTATGTTATATTATGAGCACTGTCATTATGTCGCCTCAGAAATATGAATTTCTTACTTACTCACCTGCAAAGTAGAATAACAGGTTTTATGGGAATGATGGTGTTAAACTCTGAGTTTAGAGTTTTATCAGGAATGTTTGGTGGTACAAGACTAAAACCGTGATGATAATTGGTGACCCTTGGGAAAGTTTGTGGTAAACTCTTCGTGTTTACTCTGTTTAAAATGTTTATAATATGCTACCCACAGTATAAAAGGTATTCAAACCAAATGAACTTATGTCTGGCTACTGGACTTGTTTTGAGGATGCCTGAGCAACTGATGGTGTGATACGGATATTTTAATAGACTTAATGTTACCAAAAACTTGCTTGTTTTAACCAAGAAAAAAAATGTGTCTTGGTTCTAGTGGTGGGACAGAGTCATTTGCTAGGAAAGGTTAACTTTACATTTTGTTGGGAATTCAAAATATTAATGAGATTAATGAGGGGTAACGACATGATATAAGCTCATTAGTTGGTATGCAAAACATGTGTGGTTTGGAGACGACATAAATGCTAACGTATACTTGTTAGCTTGTTAGCGGTTAGCCACAAACGGCCTCTAGTCTTGTAAAAAGTGACTGTTTTGTGAGGACGACCTAGAATTTACCTGTATGTACATTACATCACAGCTAAACATTTTGAAGTTTTTGCAAAGTAAAAAGAAAACCAGTCGGTGCACTTGTACAATCACTGACAGTGTTTTATAATAAATGTAATAATTAAAACATGAAAGACCAAAGCAAGAGAAAACAGTCTCAGTGCAGGTCACGTTGTAAAGATGTTTAGAGCCTAACAGGTGAACTTAAGAGTCAAACTTTCACATCCCTTCTTCTCAACTGAATTGCTTGTTACGTTTATTGCATTGAGGTGTAGCGCATATGTGTTGGTGAGAAGAAAACACTTGAATTTAGCTTCTTCTTCATCTCTACATCCATTATTCTGGTTTGAAATTGAAATGATGAGTAATGCAAAGAGAAAAAAAAAAGGCTGCATCAGAGAAAAAGTAAATAAAAGATTCCTTCTGAATCAAAGCTGAAGACTTTGCCTTTAATTAAACCAAATCTGAGGCTTCTGAATATCTTTAACTGCACTGTGACGTTCACTTTCACTTCTATCTTGTGTTTTTATTCTCTTTCAGCTCTTTTAACTGTTGAAATGTCATTTTTATATAGTTTTATGTTCCTTTTACACTTTGCCTTGATGCTCTTTGAACTGCCTTCTTGTTGGAATGTGATGTAGAAGGAAACTTGACTTGTGGGGATCCAGTGATGAGTGGTAGAAGAAGCAGAGATTTTAAACTTCACAGGAGGCTTCAGGAGAGCTGTAGTTCCAGATTGTTCTCGTCATCATCTCAACCACACCGTCTCTTTGTCTTGTGTTGCAGATGAAGGGCCATGTTGCCACCGCAGACCCGTGACATCGCTGTGAAGTCGTGGACGGTGGTGGACCGCAAAGCATCCGGTTCCTCGCTCGGAGCTGCAGAATTTTCCTTCTAGATCCGTTCCTGCTTTCACCCGCCACCCAAATGAATCTGTGTGAAATGGAGACTCTTTCCCAGGATTCAATTCTGGAGTGCCAGATCTGCTTTAACTACTACAGCCCCCGGCGGCGGCCCAAACTCCTGGACTGCCGCCACACGTGCTGCTCGGTGTGTTTGACCCAAATGCGCAGCAGCCAGAAGGAGATCCGCTGCCCCTGGTGCCGCGGCGTCACCAAACTTCCGCCGGGTTTGTCCGTCTCCCAGCTCCCCGACGACCCGGACATCATCACAGTCATCGCCATCCCCCACGCCTCCGAGCACACGCCCGTCTTCATCCGCCTCCCCAGCAACGGGTGCTACATGCTGCCGCTGCCCGTCGCCAAGGAGCGGGCGCTGGGCCTGCCGGGCGAGCTCGGGTGCCGCTTCCTTCCCGGCGGCCAGCAGAAGGGCGTGACGGTGGTGACGGTGCCCGAGCAGCAGCCCCTGGGCCTGGCGATGGGCCTGGAGGGCGTCGGGGTGGGTCTGGAGGGCGGCGAGGGCGAGAGGAGGGTGGCCGGGCCGGTGGGCGGCGCGGGGAAGGGATCCACGTGGTCCGGCGTCTGCACGGTGATCCTGGTGGCCTGCGTGCTGCTCTTCCTCCTGGGCATCGTCCTGCACAACATGTCCTGCATCTCCAAACGCTTCACCGTCATCTCCTGCGGCTGAAGGGAGGCAGATCGGACCGCCGCGGACCTCCCCTGGATTCCCCCCCACCGGCCCTGCCTCTCCTCAGGGCGGGACTCTGCTGAGGAGAGGGGACTCAACTCACATCATGGGCATTCAAGGAAACTACCGAGCAAAGTAGACGGACACCGATGACGGACGTGAGGGCAGGAAGGAGATCCACAAACTGGTCTGCCGTTACTTTTTTTAAAAAAACATGAAACACTCAAACCTTCACTTTCCGTCTCCATTTCCTTTCGTTTCCTCTGAAAGAGCGCTTCGGGAATCGATCCAGATTTGTTTTCTGGCTGGAAGCCGGGCTCGCTCACATTCACAGTGGTCGGATTGCCTGTTTAGTCTGTGGTTTGTAGAAGTACATCATAGTGTTGTTTCGCCGAGTGTGGCGTCTCCAGCTGGACGGACTTGGCTGCTCTCCGTTCTCCCGACGCCGCAGGAATTAACTGTGCAGGATCCACGTCTGGTCTGAATAATTTAGAGAGTCAACACAGCTTTTCGTTTTCTTTTTACGCAACCTGTTCGGAGCAAACTGTTGCTGTGACACGGCTAAGACAAGGGTTGTCAAAAAATATGGATTGTAATGTTCATACATGCCAGCATATTGTACAGCTGAACTGCAAAACACAAGGTAGTGTTGAGTTGCTTTAAAGTGTGAGTCACTGCTAAAGCCATCTGATGATTGGTTCGTTGGTAATTTGATTGTTTAAGCAAAACCGTTTCATGGCTCCAGCCTCTCAAGTATCAGGAATTGCTGTTTTCTCCTCATATTTGTATCGCTGGTTGCACAAAACAAGCAATCTGAAGCTGTCAAAACTTGCCACAGTTGCTTTTATATGACCGTTTCTTTGCTAAACCTTGACAGGCTAATTCATATTGCAAGAAAATTTGCACATTTTTTTCAAAGGTTTCAATGAGAAGATCAACTTCATACCTGTCTGTTAGCTATGGAGGCATTTAGCTTAGCATAAAGTGGAGGCAGGAAGAAACAGCTAGCTAGGCTCTCGGTTTAAAAAAACAAACAAAAAAAGCAATTTCTAAAGCCAATTATAAACACATGTTTAGTCTGTACACAAATAAAAGTGTAGTATTCTTGGTGCTACATATGCTACAAGAGGATGTGTTGCATTACTTTTAAAACGTTTGTATGGGTGAAAAAACGAGAAGCCTGTCGAGCTGTTTTATTGTGCTTTCAGATAGCTAGCATGCTAACTCTCCACGTTACTTCCGTCAGAAACAAGTTACGTGATTGCATTTTTTATTTACTTTGAGCAGAGCCTATCTAGGTCTTTACTAGCAAGCATGTTAGCCCCCTGTGTAAGTCCCCACCCAAAAAAGATCTGTTCGTATATTGTAAAATCGAGTTAAAACAAAGTAACTGGGAACTTTAGAGCTGTTGAAAAGCATATTTTTTTTACTTTGAAGAGAGCCAGACTATGTGGCGATTGAGGCTTCCATGTAGCGGCGTAGCATGCTAGCTCTTCAGTTAACTTCCCCCAAAATTAGGTTCTAAATTTGTGAGGATTTAATTAAGGCAAACATGATGCTATGATTTGAGTTATTTCAACGAGTTAATAGGTATTCTTTATTTTATTTTATTTTTTTATGAGACCAGGCTGACCTGTTTCTCCTTGCGTACGGCTAACATGCTAGCTCTTGATGTTTTACAGTTACATTTCTAAGTCATTAAAGATTACACAATAAAACAAAAATGTACAACAGTAATTTAAGGGCATATTTTTATACTTTGAAGAGAGCTAAACTAGTTGTTTCACCCTGCGTACAAACAGTTTCACGCTACATGCTAGCTGAATTACAGCACATACCTAAAAAAAAAAAACTATTGCTTTCCTTATTTTCTACGGATTAATCAAGCATAAAACAACATACTATAATTTTAGCGCTGTCAATAAATAAGTGGGTGTGCTTTTGAGCTTTGAAGAGACCTGTGTTAGCTGTATTTGTGTTAGCTAATGAGCATGCTAGCCCCCTCATATAACTCCACCAAAAACAAGTTGTGGTTTTTTGAGGATTAAATATTAAACATTGCTATAATTTACATGCTTTAGATGTGGTGATATTTATTTGAAGTTAGAAGATAGCCAGTCTAGCTGTTTCACCCTGGTAGCTAGCTAGCATGCTAGCTCCTCATATAGCTCCCACCATAAAACAAGTTATGCATTCTGAAAGATTAAACAAACCAAATAAAACATATGACGATGACAGGTAGGCCAGCTGTTTTCCCTGCTTCCAGTCTGTATGCTAAGCTAAGCTAACAGCCTCAAGGTTCCAGCTCTAAACCGAGATATAAGACTGGTATTGGTCTTCTCATTGAACTCTGCAAGAAAGCCAATAAGACAAAATGTCAGGATATTCCTTTAAATAGAACGAATGCAGAATCTGACCTTGGACACAAGTTTTCTTGATTTCTTTCACTTCTGCAGCGCATCAGTTTTGAGTTTTCCCACGGATGCTTTTCATCTTGCACAGCTTGTTCGGCGACTTTTCACCCCGACCTCCTTCAAGACCAGCGCCGCCCTCTGAAGCCAGACCCTCCAGGATCTTCGCCGGCAGCCCACACACACACAACACACACACCATCGACTCCTCGTCTTAATACCTTCTTAATTCAGAAACTGGCGGATATATGGGCTTGGCGGTGCGTGTTCATGTGTGTGAGTAATGGGTCAGCGTCGGGTCAGGAGTGGGCGGTTGCTGCAGGGTTCCTGTTAATGAAGGCTGTATCGATTTATCTGCGTTTGGATATCTCTCCGCAGAGATGGATGTTTCTGTTTTTGTTTTTGTTGTGTTTTTTTTTTTCCTTCACTTTTTATATGTCGAGGCAGCAGTTTGCCGTGAGGCGGTGGGGTGTACAGCACACACAAACAGGGTGGACGCCTTTGTACAGCAGCCTCGTCGTGTACAGAACGATTGTAGTTTTCTGGTGTTTTTCCGATGATTTCCTTTCGTTGACATGTTTTGTTTTTTATTTAGAGGGCTAATCTGAGATGAGGAAGAAGCGGTTATTCAGTGCACCTCAAGGCATGAGGAGAGTCGTTTTTGGCAGATGGCAAAATGTTAGATATAAATATACAGTTGTTTAGTTCACAGTTTATTCATCCAGTCACTAAAGGTTAACAAAACTGACTTTGCCCCTTAAAAATTTCAGCAAATTTTCTTCAATTTCGACCCCAAACTGCAGATAATTTTGGATTTACTGGCTTAAATCAAACCGTTGAGGCCACGTCAGGGCGGCCGTTTGTTTTGCAGATGCAGCGAGTTAACTTCATCCAGGCTGGTTTGTGTGCGACGTGCAGCCGGTTGCTATGAGACCGAACTGAAAGCCCTTCAGAAGTTGGATGTAGCTTTTGCTGGAAGTTGACATATTTTTAGCTCGTAGCACTTAGTGCTCCGTGGCCTCGATGAAAAGTCGCTAATTTCCCGGTACTGGAGGCTGAAGTGGTTTCCTGGCCTGACGTTCCCCCTCCGAGGAGAATCTGAAGGTGAAGTAAATCCCAGTCGGTCTGTTTACAGCGTTAATGTGAGGTTATAAGCTGTAAATGGTGGTTTGTTAACAGTTAATAAACATGAATTAACGTTAGGTGTTCCATTTAGGTTGCCAGGTTTGGAAAATGAGACTCTCAAATCAACTTGGCAACCCCAAAAAAATCATCAAGGAATAGTTTATTAACTGTTAATAAACACATTCGTGAGGGTTTATGGTGAATAATGTGTAATAAAATGGCTTCATTTTTACATTTAGGTTGCAAAAATTAGATCTTTGAGTGGACCTGGCAACCCGTAAATCATCATTAATGGGCTGCAGCTGAGCTATAAAGGATTAACAGAGCATTTATTAACCACCAATAAACATATTATTATGAATAAACCCTTATAAGCGCCATATAACCATTTGAAATGCTTTTCATTTTTACATTTTGGCTGCAAAAATTAGACCCTTGAATGAACCTGGCAACCTAAAAGTCATCATTAATGGATGGCGACTGATTTATTGGCTGTTAATAAACACATTATTTACAACAAACCCTCAAGAGTGCCATATAACCATTTAAAAACGTTAAATAAATGGTTTATGATGCAGTTACAGGCAGATAGAGAACATTTCCAAGTGTTTATTAATACTCATTTATACATTATACGTTATTAAAAAGCAGACTTAATACGGATTTACAGCATTTACAGAGTATCTCAGTGGATTTGTGGTCCAGTGTGATCCCCAGTAGTCGACACCAGGCTCCTAAAAGACCAGTTTAACCCAAATAAAGGTGTTTTTAGATGGTTGGAATTTAACAGCTGATGCTTTCAGATGCTTCTGCCAGATTTTTGTTAAAGTATTTGCCCTCAAATGACAAAAAAAAATCCTTATGTCGTCGGTAAATCACTCACAGATTTCATTGGAACCAGTTCTGACCAAGAAAAAGCCTCTTTAGAAGCCGTTCACTGTGTTTTCTGTGAAGAGTCAGAAGAAGAAGCTGCATCGTGTCGGGATCAAATATGAAAACCCCAACAGATAAAACCAAAATTATCTGCATGGTAACATCAAATGCAAAAGCCATACTTGGAAACAAACCAAGGAGGGAGTTAATTGTGGCCTAAATAATCGATTAAATTGGACTTTTTTTTTGCAGGAAACATGCTTTTTCATGCATCAAAGAACGAGTCTTCTCCTTCCACCGATCCACCGTGAGTTTGGTTTTTATGTGGGACGAAGGATCAGATCATTTATTTACCCTGAAAGTGTCCATAGGATAAATAATATCTGACATTATTGATCTGAAAGTGGTTAAAATGCTCCATTATTGGGAAGCAAACTCCTAAAAACGCTGTCATGCACAAATCTGAAGCCTCTTCCTGCCATAATGTTCTTTTTTTATATAATTTTCAACACAGAAACCCGTCGGACTCTCCTTCCCGTCCTCTGTATTAATCGTTTTCACATCAGAAGCCGTCCTGTCGCTCGTTTTTTTTCCGTTTATTTACCTGAAGCGAGGGGCGTGGACGGAGCGAGGCTTGTCATGTCTGTGCCTGTGTGTTTGTAAAATGCTGTGAAGTTCATGTCGTAGTTTTCTGTTCGGCGACGGCGCCGGCAGCAGCTGTTTTTAGTGAACTATTAAAGCAAACGCTCTGAATCTGAACCACGAGTCTTTTATGTGTGTGTGTGTGTGTGTTTACTTTTTCATTTAGAAGAAATAAACCCCCAGTGAAAGATTTAAAAAACAAAAAAGCGTATTCCCCGGAGCTTCATTTATCGAAATCCCATATTTCACGGTTGAGTAGCGGGAAGCCTGCTGCCTTTGTTTACCCTCAGGAAGCTCTTTTCTCCTCAAATATTTATTGATATAGTGTCACGGAGGTAATTAACGCTCTCCGGGGGGCAGTTTGCAGCGGCAGAAACACCTCGATTCCTCCCAGGCAGCAGCTAATGATAGAAACAGTGCTCCGCTACGAGCTTCATGTGTTTGTTCAGTGAAACGACCACCAGAGCTCCTCGTCTCCACCGTCATTAGTTATTCCTGCAACAGGGTCGACTGACCCTCAGACGTGAGGTCACGAAGCCACTCCAGGACTTGTTGTTTTGCAGCATTTTCATCTGTTTTAGACACACAAATATTCAAAGATGCGTTTCTTGATTTTGGGAATCTGTCGAGCAGTTTTCATGCAAGTTTTAATCTTTAAACTTTAAAACGCTTGAGATGCTGAATTTATGTTTTCTGAGCATTTCTGTAAATAAAATCTGTTTAAATAAATGAAAATATGGCAGCAAAAGTGATTTAAAAAAAGCAGTTAAATGTAAATATCTGGAATAATGACGTTTTTAGTAAAAACTGATCTTGAAAGAATTAATTTTGATTTAT